TGTGTGTGTGTGTGTGTAAGCCCGGATATCGAGGGAGGACGGATTTCGATTTAGGCAGGTGCGGTGGATGCAGCGCAACTCCACATTTTCTTTTTTGACCCGCATGGAACGAAGACGGCGATGGCGAATTTCACAGCCTGCGCCGTGCAATCGACTTGGGCTCGGATAGCGAAGAGCCGGCTGCCCGTTGCGCCTCGCTTTGCACCTGCCCGCCGGACCCTTGGTCAGCGCCAGGGTGGCTCACTCACCTTCCTTCTCGATCCTTATAGCATCTCGACAAGCCGGCTCACACACTCACAGGAACATAGCCAGCCATATATCCGATAGCATACGCAAGATGGCACAGAGTCAGCTCGTAAGTCGACAGCGCGAATGTTGATGGAGGCAATCAGTCGAGCTAATCGTTTTCGTTTTGTGTGGGTTGGGACAGCCTCCATTTGCGCAGGCTACAGCGGGCGCGCTGGGGTCTCTGACGAGCAACACGCTCGTGTATCCGCTCGACTTGCTCTCGACACGATGCCAGACGCAGTCGCGCGGACGCGATGGCAAGGGAGGCTATCGCTCCATCGGCGCTGCACTGTCCGAGATCATCCAGCAAAACGGCATCAAGGGCCTGTACCAAGGCCTGGCGTCCGACTCGATCTCCAACACGCTCTCCAACTTTCTCTTCTTCTACTTTCGCTCGTTCTTCATGGAGGCCATCCAGGAGCGCAAGCGCGCCAAGCTGCCGCCTTCCTCGGGAGGCAAGGGGAAAGGAAAGTCGATCGTCATCACTGCTGCCGAAGACCTCGCCATCGGTGCACTGGCAGGTATCGTATCGAGGCTCTTCACCACCCCGCTTTCGAACGTGACCGTGCGCATGCAGACCTCCGCCACGCCGAAAGCAAAGAACAAGCAGGTCGAAGGCGCCAAGGAGGCCACAAAACAGCCTAGCTCGGACAGCGACTCGGACGACGAGGGTGGCTATGCCGAGTCTCCCGGAATCATGGACGTGCTGCGCCAGATCGTAGACGAAAAGGGCTGGCTGGGCTTGTGGTCGGGATTCGAAACTGCAGCCATGCTGAGCATCTCGCCGGCGCTGACGTTCTACAGCACCAACGCCGTATCGACGCTACTCATCCCCAAGGAGCGCCGGGAAAAGCCATCGTCGCTGCAGACGTTCGTCACCTCGGCCATCGGAAACAGCATCTCGACCATGATCGTCTTCCCGCTCATCCTGTGCAAGACGCGTCTGCAGTGGAGGAGTCCGTCGGGACGAAAGATGTACCGCAACCTGCTGGATGTGCTGCGCAAGACCATCAGGCGCGGTGGGCTCGCGGGCCTCTACCAGGGCCTCGACACGCAGCTGCTCAAAGGTCTTTTCAGCTTCGGAACAACGATGGTAAGTCGGCTACACGAGAGCTCGGATTGCGCACAGTGGAACAGGTTGCTGATTGATGGATTTGGCGTCGGGAACAGATGGTCAAGGCACGCATCGAGACGCTGTTTGTGATGCTCTTCCTCGCCGTGCGCAACAAGAAGGCGGCGCTGGCATGAGCGGGTGCTTGTATGCTGTCAATACGACTTTGCTTGGCTGCATGAACCGGCTGGCGGGTGCGGGTGCGGGTGCGAATGTGCGTCTGCTTGAGTGGAAACGAAGGCCAAACCTCCACATGCAGCAGCAACCCTTCTGCCGCTGTATGGCCTTATCATGCACGCCCAACTTTTTGGCGGCGTTGCAGCAAAGGCGCGCTGACGTGCGTTGCCGCAAATGCCAAAAAGGCGGTGTGACGTGACGGCATTCTGCTGCGCCTGCGGAATACACCTCGTGTGTGTGAGAGAGAGAGTCCGTGCACGCCCGTTGCCAGTCACACAAGGCGGGCTGGCTCCTCAACCACGCTCGACGTTGCTTCTCGGCCACCATCTCAGACAGCCCCTCTCTTCCGTCGGGAATAGGATCCTAGCTTTTGGCCGGCACCATGAACGGCATCAAGCACGACACCCCGCACGGTGCGTCCGCCGCTGCCAACGCACCGTCCAATCTCTCCGAGAAAGCGCTGCCTCCTATCCAGGGCGCTCTCCACTCCGCCCAGAAGGCCGCTAAGGACGCCGTCGGATCGGCACGCGACGCCACCTCTTCGTCGTCTCTGACCACCGAGTATCCCGTGCCGCAGTCGCATCCCGACTCCCAGATCGCCGATTACGTCCTCGTCTTCCAGCACATCGCCAAAAAGTACCTTCGATCCAGCACAAAGGTGCCCGCCGCAGAGCGTTCCAAGATCGCAGCAGAGTACGACGCACTCGTACAGCGCATCCGCAGCACGGGCTTGCACGTCACCAGCCGCGAAGGATCCAAAGGCTCCGGTCAGATCTTACTCTTTGTAAAGGCAGACTCGCAGCTCCTCCATCAGCTCGCCCGACAGGAGGCTCTCTCCGACTACCTCCACGGCGTGCTCTCCGTCCAGCCTCCCCCGCCGCGCTCCTCGAGCCTCGCCGAGACGTCATCGAAACAGCCGCAACCGTCGTCGCTCCACCTCACGCCCGCCTCGCGTCTCCGTCTCGTCGACTCGCTCCTCACGCTGCCCAGCCTCGCGTCGCACGCCGTCAAGAATGCCAGCGGAAGCTCTCAGGTCCCCTCGGGCGCTGGTCTCAGGCTCGGCCTCAAAGAATTTCCGCACCTCGTCGACATGAGCGCCATCCATGACCCCGCGTACAATTCCGCATGGATGAAGCGCTGGTCGCACACCTCGCCCGCCAAGCTCTTCTCGGGCATCGGCCTCGCAGACCTCGACTCGATCCGCGAACACTTTGGCGAGGACGTGGCGCTCTACTTTGGCTTCCTCAACTTCTACTTCCAGGCGCTCGCACCCGCCGCACTGCTCGGCCTCACCTTCTGGCTCCTCGGTAGACCCTTCTCGCCCGTCTACTCGCTCGGCCTCGTCTCGTGGTCCTGCCTCTTTGTCGAGCTGTGGCGCATGAAGGAGCGCAAGCTCGCCGTGCGCTGGGGCACCCTCGGCGTCTCCCAAGTCGACCGCAGGCGCCACGACTTTGTGCCGCGCACCACGCGCATCGATCCAGCCACCGAAGAGCCGGAGGAAGTCTTTGAGTGGTGGCGCCGCGAACTTCGCGTCATCCTTTCGCTCCCCATCGTCGCCTTCTTCGCCTCTGTGCTGGCGGCTACCATGACGCTCATGTTTGTCGTCGAGATTTTCGTCACGCAGCTCTACCACGGTCCACTCAAGCAGGCCGTGCCCTTCATCCCCACCGCGCTGCTCGTCGTCGCCGTGCCCCAGATCATCGCCGCCTGGCAGGCCACCGCCGTCGCCATCACAAAGTGGGAGAACCACCACAGCGCAAAGTCGTTCGACTACTCGCTCACTCTCAAGCGCTTTGCCATGCAGGCCATCACCGCCTACGGCGCGCTCACCCTCTCCGCCTACATCTACATCCCCTTTGGCGAGTCGATCATGGAGACCATGGTGCAGCGCGGCTTCTTCCGCGACTCGATCCAGCAGGCTATCCGCACGGGCAACATCAGCCCAAAGGGCATCGACTTCCACATCAATCCGGACCGCATGCACACCCAGCTCTTCGCCGTCAGCGTCACCAGCCAGTTTGTCAATGCCTTCACCGAGCTCGCGCTGCCCGTGCTCATGCGCAAATTTGCCGAGTGGCGCGAGGAGCGCGCCGCCCAAAAGAACGCCGACGGCTCGTCGCAGCGCCAGCCTCAGCGCCAGGACTCGGCGTCTTCCTCCGCCCCGTCCTCGGGCGACGCAACTCCGCTCGAGCCCGGCGCGCCGGACAGTGGCAGGGAGGAGTCGGAGCGGCGCTTCGTCTCGCGCGTGCGCAAGGAGCTGCAGCTTCCGCCCTACGATCTGTTTGGCGACTACGCAGAGATGGCGACGCAGTTTGGCTACATTACGCTCTGGTCCGTCGTGTGGCCGCTGTCGCCCGTCATGGGATTTGTCAACAACTTTTTCGAGCTGCGCTCGGATGCGGCCAAGATTAGCGTCAACAACCGACGACCCGTGCCCGTGCGCGCCGAGACGATCGGGCCGTGGCTCGAGGCGTTTGGCTTCATCGCGTGGTTCAGTGCGCTCAACAATGCCGCGCTCGTCTACCTCTTCCAGCAGTCGGAGCATGCGCATCTCGAGGGCCATTCGCGGTATGAGACGACCATGCGCACGCACCTCCACCCTTCGCGCGCCAATCTCACGCTCGCGGACGATGCGCAGTCGCGCTTTAGCTTTTCCAGACTGGTGCCGTCGCATATCCCGACGTCGGGTGCGGCGGGCGCGATCGTGGCGGCGGTGCTGGTGGCGCTGTTGGCCGAGCATGTGTATGCGCTGGTCAGGTCCGGCATCAGGCACATCCTCGAGCGGCTCATCTGGCGCGGCTCACACGAGGAGATGGTCGTCCGCCGCAGAGAGTGGGTCCTGCGCGTCGAGACGCTCAAGTCGCACGTGCACGGCCAGATCGATGTAGCCGAGGGCGGCCTCGAGAGCATCCGCGAATCGCTCTCGGGCGACGTGCGTTCCGCAGCCGGATTCTGGAGCAAGGACAAGGACGTCGGCGCCACGGCCATCCACAACTCGGGCAAGACCGAGTGAGATCGCTCCCCCTCATCCCCCTTGCGTGCATTTGCGCTTGATCCTGTCTCATATCGACCTTGGAATGGATGTGTGAGCCGAATTTGTGTGCTTGTGTTGGGTGTTACTTTTTTGATTGTGTGGCTAGTTGGTGGGTGTGTTGGAGATACTGATACAGGTGGAGATTACTGGCCTCTTCCACGGCCTCTTGCGGAACCTCTTCCGCGGTCTGGGCCACCGCCCCTTGAGCCGCGGTGGTTTCCACGTCCACCACCGCGTGCACCTAGACTGACGCCACCGGACAGACCGCCACCGCCCTGTTGGCGCTGCTTGCGTGCAGCCTCCTCGGTCTCCTTGACCTGGTCGATCACGCTGTCTGCAACCCGACAGTACTTGATCTGTAAGCCGCATCCCCATCATTTCAAAGTCAGTACTTTTGTTCGAGTAAAGGGAGGGGCTTTTGGACTTACTGTGCTGCCACGAATATAGCATTCCTTTTGCTTCCAAAATTGCTCGCCACTCTACGGATCATAACCAAAGTGTCAGCACATGTGCACAAGGCTGGGGAAGAGCGAGGCGAACTTACGGCGCTGGTTTCGTAGACCTCGCGAAGGGTGAGATTCATAAAGTTGTCACATGCCACAAGATGTCCGTTGAACGTAGAGCCGTTCTTGAGCTCGACGAGCTGCATCCAAGTGAACCCCAGAATCAGTGCGTGATCCAAGGCGAGAGGGTCGAAGGGGTTGCGCTTACCATCGGCTTGTTCTGCGCTGCATTCAGCAGCGATAGCGGCAGCTGATCGCAATGAGAGACAGCGAAATGAACTGTCAGCACCGCATTCGTAAGTGCAATGAGTCGCGATCGGATCTTACCATGACGAGTGCGAGTTTGGCTATGCGATTGATGAAAGAGCGGCAGGGTTGGAGGGCAGTCTGGTGCCAAGGCACGGATTTGTCGGATAGGAGCTGCTGCACCGAATCGAAGCTGAAGTGGTGCTGGGTGATGTGTTCGAGAAGGTTCTTGCTGCCAAAAGTGTGTCGTGTCGTGTGGGTGCGGGAGCAGATGGGGTGAGAGGAGAGCAGGCTCGGATGCAAAGATGAGGATGGTGGTTGGTGCTTTCGTCGCCGCGCCCATTCCAACTCCACTCGATTTGCATCGGCCGATATCCCGATATCCACCTTCCCTTCAGCCCGATGAAAATTTCCACTCCGCCTTTCCGCTCTTGAACTCCACACGACATCCCAACCGCCACTTCTTCCGTTGCCCCCACCATCTTCACCCACCTTCCACGCTTCCAAACGCAGCATGTCGGCGTTCCGCAACATCGACGTGCACGCTGCACACGTGCAGGAGCTGCAGCACCGCATCCAGCTCGAGCTCGCGCACCACAACTACTCGGCACACGACGACCCCGTGATGGCCGAGTACATCGTCGTCATGCTCGCCAATCAAAAGACCGCCGACCAGGTCACCTCAGAGCTGCAGGAGCTCGTCGGTACCGAGTACGATCCGGCGTTTACAGAGTGGATCTGGACCCAGACGCAGGAGTGCCTCAACCAGGCTGAGCGTCCACAACCAGCCGAAGCGGAGCAGCACCCGGCGCGAAGACAGGAGAGGAGGAGAAGCAGATCTCCAGTGGCAGG